TAATATTAATTATGTTTAAATATTATTTATTATGCCATGATAATTTATAAGCAGCGTTTAAACAGACCGCTTTCACTAATAATTAAAAATCGTAAATTGTAAAACCAATAATGTCAAAAACCGCACCGCTTGATTCATCCGAACTCGCTTTTCCGGAAAAAATGGCCCTCCGTATAGTACGTATTTTCATCTCGCTGTCTTCTAATCACGAACTAATACGATTCTTTATTCTAACAACTATTACTAATAAATTTAAAAATCAACGAAAAATTACAAACACGAGTGTATTTTACACAATAAATAAAAAAAAATCACAGAAATTTGCAACTTTTGCATCGTCACGATGAACGGGAAAAATTACAATCACAGCCTAAAACGAGAAAATTCCTTGGAAAAGTCACCGCCTTGACCGGCCAACTTAAAGCGTCCTCAAAAATTTCTCAAAAATTTAGAGATTTATCTATAAACTCAAACCGTACTTACTCCGTTTTCGGGCATTTTTCGAAAAACATTCGCTTTCCTTCGTGTTCACAGCACTAACGCAAAACATTTTCGCTAATATTTATTAACAATAAATTGGAAATTTGCGAACAACTGCTACTTTTAAGTTAAAACGGAGCTCCGATGTTGTTACCACCAGGCCGAAATTAAAACTGAACACAAAGAACCGAAAAACGAGATCTTTGCACAGCTAGCTCACGTGACATTGACGTCATCGTACGTCACCATGAGGTTGCAAAAATTATTTTTCATAGTATGGTCGAAAATTGCACATTTTTGGGGTTAATTTAATATTATTTAAACAAACTGAATTATTTTTAATAACTTCATCTTTGTAGAAATACTGTTTTCGGTTTAATTATCACATATTAATACTTATTATGTTCAAACGGTATAAATAATATTAATTATGTTTAAATTTAAAAACTAGTGTTGTAATTAATTTGATTCATACGAACTCTCTTTTTCGGGTTTCCGGAAAAATGGTCCTCCGTAAAGTGTGCATTTTCACTTCACTTTCCTCCCATGACGGATTAATACGATTTTGTTTTAACAATCACTAAACAATTTAGAAATCAACGGAAAGTTACAAACACGAGTGTACAATAAATTAAAAAAATCATGGGAAATTGCACCTTTTACACTGTCGCGTAGAACGGGAAAAATTATAATCACAGTCAAAAACGAAAAAATTTTCGGAAAAGCTTTCCATTTTAACCGGCCAGCTTCAATCGCCCTTCAAAATTTCTCAAAAATTTTGAGATTTACTGAATATACCTGAATATCACGAAAACCGACAAATTAAAAGTCATATCGTACTTACCCAGTTTTTGGTCCTTTTTTGGAAAAATATCCACTTTCTGTCGTGTTCATAGCACTAACACAGCGCATTTTCACTAACATTTATTAACAATAAATTAGAAATTCGCGAAAATGTGCTGCTTTTATGCCAAAACGATACACCGAAGTTGTCAGATCGAAATCAAAACTGAATACAAAGAGCCGGAAAACATGACCTTTGCTCAGGTAGTTCACGTGATAGTAAGGTCATTATACGTCACGATGAGATTGCCAAAATTATTTTTCATAATTTGGAATTAATGTAACTATATTTAAACAAACTGAATTGTTTTTAATAACTTCATGTTTGTAGGAAAATACTTTTTGGTTTAAGCATGATGTATTTAAAATTTATAAATAATATTAATCATGTTTAAATGTTATTTAATTATATCATGGTAATTTATAAGCAGCGTTTGTATGAACTGATTTCACTAATAACACAGGCCTGTATTTTTTAACTTTTGAAAAATTGTCTTCAAATTGATAGCTGATTCTTGTGTATTTTGGGGTGCTGAATCCAAATACTTTAAATACTTCTACATTGTTTACTTGGGTGAAAAGTTGGATAAAACTTGAAATTGACCATGATATTTCATAATCCTTAAACATTTTGTAAGTATAAATAAATAAATATTGTTCTATAACTTGGATTATAGTTGAAAATATCAAATTGCATAAGCTGGAGTAGGTACTTTTGTAGGTATACAAAGGTATGTATACCTACAAAATTTAAGAAACATTTATTCGACAAAATTATAAAATGACGTCATCATTTTTAAGAACCATAAACGAAAACATTTTTATTAACACCTTACCAGACTTATGACAACCTTTGAAATGCTTACAAATTTTCAGATTATTCATAAGTTTAAAGTAGAGATGGATTAATAAATGGTACTCGTTAGCTCAACGATGATTCACTTCGTCAGTAACGTCAAAAAATTAATCCCGTACCATACTGCAGATGTTATGGACATGGACTCAGAAACTGCATCCCTTACCTCAAATCCGCGAGGTTAAAAGCCTAACCTTGTTAGTTTAGAATTTTTTAGAAAAATGACTGTTATTTTATCGTTCTTGATATCAATTGATCCCAGTTTAACGCAGTACTTGTCCCTTCCTCTTTCATCCTCTTAGCTAGCCACAACATTCTGTAATTAGAATGTCACTACCAACCTCTGTTCATTAACTAGCAGTATCGCATCGTCAGCCGTGTATCGAGTGTGTCAATTCTATCCAATTACATCGGTTTAATGTGACAAACACGAAAATACGTAATTAACCCCTTTCAGCGGCTTTTTTCTTCAGTTTTAGGTCTTTTGCAACGATTTTGCGTTTCTGGCGGTGGCGATGTACCACCTTCCGCGTTGAGGTACAAACGCCGTTTCTTGCAAATGTTTTTGAGTGTGTTTGGTAATGAGATTCCAGCAGTCGTGCCATGTAGTCGAAATTAGAAATTTTGTCGAGATAATCAAGAACATGTATCCTTAAACGCGTCGCGTTTTGGGGAATTGGTGGATGCGCCGGGTCGAGTCATCTCAGGAATTAGAATGGCGATAGTGTCGTTGTAAAAAGTGAACGCATCTGTCATTTGGCTTTCTTATCTGCCGTCTGTCTGGTAGAATCCGGTTAGTATCTGGTTTGCGGAATTTTTTGGGGCGAACGTTACCCGACTAGTCGATGTTAAACGGATTATTTCGTCAGGGTAATTGTGAGTGGGTTTAGGAATGAATTACCTTAACTCGATGGTAAGGACGAGATTGAAATTATAGGAGTTGTGTAATAAATCGCCGAGAATATTGTTTCAGGGGGTTAAATTTGTTGAACAAGGAGCGTAAAGGGAGTGTATAGGATCCTTAGGGTGAATTCGAAACCTTTTTGCGAAGGGGCGTGATACATCTAATGCATTAATTCCAGTCTCTCGCCTTTACTCCTCGGCATTGATGGTACTTCGGAAGCAAGAGAAGGTGAAAGGGATTTTCAAGTGCATAGGCGAGAATGCTGGAATACCCTTCTTGTTTCTTATTACCCTTTCGGCGACATGTGATTAAAATTGATAATCAATGAGGAGCTCTTTGAGATTACCGTCTAATAAAGGACGGGGAGGCTTATATCCTACTTACTGATTTAATTAACGGCCCTAATTGATTTGTGATGAGAATTTTGTTTATCAGCCCGTTCGGATCGACGAACATTTATAAATGAAAAGATAATGTCGCACCCGAAAAAGGATCATGCTAAAACATGTGTGCAACTTCGGGTCGGGCAAACATACGCACTGGTCAATAATCGATAATGTGAAAGCCAAAGATAAATAAAATTTGTTCTATAAACATTCATCTCTTTGTTGCCGCTACAGGATCAACTGATTAAATATTTAAGCGATGCAGGTTTTCAATTTTGTCACTCCGAATTAATCACACCTTTTCGGTTAATGTTCTTACTAGCGTCGATCCGAATCAACTCGTTCGTTACATCTGACTTCATGTCGCCACGTTATACTCACGTCGTTTTATTTAATCAGTAGACCTATTAAAGTGTGGTTGCCGACGTGACGTCTTTTTGCTACCTACATCTTTTTTACCCCTCGTCACTTAAAATAACGACTTGACAAATTTAACCAAGGAAATAATCAGACAACATTTAAGTCTGAATAAGTGCCTTACAACTTTAAATTTGTAGCTCGAATTGCCGGGAAAAGATACGGCCTAATTTCGGATTCGCCAAATAACGTTCTACCGGTCTCGCCGTTTAGGCGCCAGGATCACAATTTAACTCCGAATTAATTCCTCTTCACACTTAAAATTACCCATTGTTTAATTGAATGTACTGATGGTTTTTAACGATTACGCACAAATTTTCATGATTAACTTATATTTTCGTTCACACTCGCTGACCTATTTAATTGAACCCCGGCGCATCCACCGATTCGCTTTCCTAACAAAATTTCCACTCCAGATATCCGTCCAAAACACCACATCAAAAAGAAATATTCAAACGAATCATGATTTTTATACTGCCATATATATATGTTGAACAAAAAGTAATCATGTTGAACTAGATTTGAACTACGAAAGACAAGGAGTCTAAATTGGAAAACTGTGGATCAAGGGATTACTTAGATCCAGGATATCGGAAGTCGTAGCGCCTTTTATTCCTGCTAACAACGTCCATTAATAAAGGAGAGCAGATGACGTTTTATAGCAATAATTAGCAACTTTGTTTCATTTTTTACTTCCCGAGCGCAAGCTGCTCTTAATCTGCTAGCAGTTTTATTGACCAGTTAATGTCAAAACTACCAAACCGATTACTTTGAAATTTCGCCCATATAGTATGATTATTACGAAGATAACATTTGTTGAGTGCCATCTAAATTTTCTAAAATAACGTACTTCTATAGCGGTGGGTTATGACTCTGCTGTGATTTTTTACCCCATCTATAAATATCTAAATAATAAAAACAAAAAATGGGGGCAAATCTGGGTGTATTACACTTGAACGAGGCTCAAAAAGGTCCAGAAATCATTTCCACGTCCGACGTTCCTGGAGGAGTTAACCCACAGCGCATTTTCCCCTACACCCTTCATACATACAAATGTCCTCCCATTTCGACTATCTCGAATCCACGCTAACGCATAATGTCTATATTGTTTCAGACGCAGAATACTGAATTAAATGCACTTTGAGTGAATCTCTCACTGATATCCCATTGAATCAAAATGAAGCATCGAATCTTGATCGCGTTTTTCTTCGTATTTTACGGGGCTACTTCGAGTCGGGGGACCTTCTCTACTCAAAAACCCAATGCGACTTTAATAACTAGCACCGTGGCTACAACCTCGGCTAGTCCGACCCCGACTGTCACGGAGAGCAAGGCGGATCCGGTTGGCAACAGCCCCGTCACTTCGCCGCCCCCGACGACAACAACATCGGCAAGCTTTAACGCAGTGAACACGACAACGGACGTACCGGAGACGCAAACCCACCCTGAAGAGAAAGGTATTTAAAAAAATCTTGATTTATGGGTTTTCGTTTCGAAAATTAAATAAACACAAATCGTGGGTTCGAATCCCACCCCTCGCCTTTTTTTTTAATAGTGAGCGGACGCTCAAAATGGTGTTCTTTCAGTGCAATATCCCCCTCTACACCGACTGATCTCACCCATCGAAGAAAAGCTGGAAGCTCTTGCCTGCGACTTGCCACTTCTCCCGACCGAGTATCGCATCTGGAAGGGAAACGAGACTCACGAACTTTTATTGCCGATAACGGTAAGTAGGCGCGAATAAACTATATCTCTGCATAATTCACACGTCGCTACAACAAATTATCCGAGACTTTTACGGTTACGATTAAACCGCGCAATTAACGTTATCGACGCTTTTGATAAATCCCGCTTTATCCTAAAACTGGGTTGGCAAGAAAAGCAGAAGTAATGGAAAGTTTAGCACGGCGAGTTTAACGCAAAATAACTTTCACAATGTGCGTCCAATTTTCAGGTTACCCATGCTCAGGGACCTGTGACTGTGAAAACATGTAACTGAGGTCCGGTGCCTCATGCTGAAAGTTTTACGAGTGTGAAACCGAGCAGGAGACGTTTAAACGAATTTTTCGCGCACTCGTGTTGTTTGTAAATAATAATAAAATAAAGAATGACAGTCCTAGGGGATACTTTTATCCGTCCCGGGCGATGGCGGCTAATTGCTAAGGAATGCGCTGCAAATGATTTGCGCACTTTTGTTAATTTTGAATTTTTTCCGTGTTTGTACTTTTATAATTTATAAACCGGTGAGAGGTACAGGGAATGCGGATTTGCGCCCGGCTTGCGCTTATAATTGATATATTTCCTGCTGTTAAAATTTTACGTGTTATTGTTGGCGTATCAATGTTTTGATCCCTATTAAAAAAAAGTCGAAAGTTATTTCGACAGAACTTCCCTCGCTTCTGAAGTACAGTCCAACTGCTTGTATGAAAAATTATAAAATTTGATTTTGCCGAATTTAGCTTTTTCGTAATAACCTCTATGGAGTAAAAACAATATAGAAAGTACTAGTATAGAAGGTACTAGTCACAGTGTGACAGGGTTTCACCTCCTTAAAAAAAGACAGTTGGAAACTCCGACAAGATTTAATATTCTTAAAAAAAAACACATTTGGGACCCCCGAGAAGGTTTCACATTCTTAAAAAAAAAACACACACATTTGGGACCTTCGAGAAGGTTTCACATTCTTAAAATAAAACGTTTGGCGCCCTCGAGAAGGTTTTACATTTTTAAAAAAGACAGTAGGGACCCCGGAAAAGGTCAGGTCTTGTATTAAAAAAAAAGATATTACAGGCCCCCGAGAAGATTTTACATTTTTAAAAAAGACAGTTGGGACCCCCGAGAAAGTTTCACATTACAAAAGCTATTTGAGATCCCCGAGAAGGTTTTACATTTTTAAAAAAGACGTTTGGGACCCCCGAGAAGGTTTAACATAAAAAAAAAACAGTTGGTACCCCGAGGTTTAATATTAAAAAAAAGGATATTTGAGGCCCCCGAGAAAGTTTTACATTTTTAAAAAGAGCAGTTGGGACCCCGAGAAAGTTTTACATTAAAAAAAAACATTTGGCGCCCCGAGGAAGTTTTACAATAAAAAAAAAGACAATTGGGGCCCCTGGGAGGGTTTCATGTTCTTAAAAAAATACATTTGGGGTCCCCGAGAAGGTTCTACATTTTTAAAAAAGACGATTGGTACCCTCGAGAAGGTTTTAGGTTTTACATTTTTAAAAAGAATCGTTGGGTGCTCCGACAAGGTTTCATATTAAAAAAAAGGGATATTTGAGGCTCCCGATAAAGTGTTACATTTTCAAAAAGAACAGTTGGGACCCCCGAGAAGGTTTCACATTCTAAAAAAAAACATTTGGGGCCTCCGAGAAGGTTTTACATTTTTGAAACAAGACATTTAGCGCCCCCGAGAAGGTTTTAACTTTTTAAAAAAGACAGTTGGGACCCCCGAGAAGGTTTTTAAAAAAGACCGTTGGGACCCCGCGAGAAAGTTTTAGGTTTCACATTAAAAAAAAAGATATTTGGGGTCCCCGAGAAGATTTTAGGTTTAACATTTTTAAAAAGAGTAGCTGGGTCTCCCGAGAAGGTTTCACATTAAAAAAAGATATTTGGGGTCCCCAAAAAAGTTTTACATTATTAAAAAAATACATTTAGGGCCCACGAGAAGGTTTTACTTTTTTAAAAAGGACAGTTGGGACCCCCGAGACAATTTCACATTCTTAAAAAAAGACGTTTGGCGCCCCCGAGGAAGTTTTATATTTTTAAAAAGAACAGTTGGGACCTCCGAGAAAGTTTCACATTAAAAGAAAAATTTGGCGCCCCGAGGAAATTTTACAATAAAAAAAAGACAATTGGGGCGCCAGAGAGGGTTTCACATTCTTAAAAAAATACATTTAGGGTCCCCGAGAAGGTTCTACATTTTTAAAAAAGACAGTTAGTACCCCCGAGGAGGTTTTAGGTTTTACATTTTTAAAAAGAACCTTTGGGTCCTCCGACAAGGTTTCATATTTAAAAAAAAGGGATATTTGAGGCTCCCGAGAAAGTGTTACATTTTTAAAAAGAACAGTTGGGACCCCCGAGAAGGTTTCACATTCTAAAAAAAAAAACATTTGGCGCCCCCGAGGAAGTTCTACATTAAAAAAAAGACAATTGGGATCCCCGAGAGGGTTTCACATTCTTAAAAAAATACATTTGGGGCCTCCAAAAAGGTTTTACATTCTTAAAAAAAAAAAAAAAATAAGGGGCCCGTAGAAGGTTTTACCTTTTTAAAAAAGACAGTTGGTACCCCCGACAAGGTTTTTAAAAAAGACAGTTGGGACCTTGCGAGGAAATTTTAGGTTTCACATTAAAAAAAAGATATTTGCGGTCCCCGAGAAGGTTTTAGGTTTAACATTTTTAAAAAGAGCAGCTGGGTTTCCCGAGAAGGTTTCACATTAAAAAAAGATATTTGGGGTTCCCGAGAAGGTTTTACATTTAAAAAAAAATACATTTGGGATCCCCGAGAAGGTTTCACATTCTAAAAAAAACATTTGGCGCCCCCGAGGAAGTTTTACATTAAAAAAAAGACAATTGGGATCCCCGAGAGTGTTTCACATTCTTAAAAAAATACATTTGGGGCCTCCAAAAAGGTTTTACATTCTTAAAAAAAAAAAAAAAAATAAGGGGCCCGTAGAAGGTTTTACCTTTTTAAAAAAGACAGTTGGTACCCCCGAGAAGGTTTTACCTTTTTAAAAAAAGACAGTTGGGACCCCCGACAAGGTTTTTAAAAAAGACAGTTGGGACCTTGCGAGGAAATTTTAGGTTTCACATTAAAAAAAAGATATTTGGGGTTCCCGAGAAGGTTTTAGGTTTAACATTTTTAAAAAGAGCAGCTGGGTCCCCCGAGAAGGTTTCACATTAAAAAAAGATATTTGGGGTCCCCGAGAAGGTTTTACATTTTAAAAAAATACATTTGGGGCTCACGAGAAGGTTTTACGTTTTTAAAAAGGACAGTTGGGACGCCCGAGACAGTTTCACATTTTTAAAAAAAGACATTTGGCGCCCCCGAGGAAGTTTTACATTAAAATAAAAGACAATTGGGATCCCCGAGAGGGTTTTACATTCTTAAAAAAAAACATTTGGCGCCCCCGAGGAAGTTTTACATTAAAAAAAAGACAATTGGGATCCCCGAGAGGGTTTCACTTTCTTAAAAAAAACATTTGGGACCTCCGAGAAGGTTTTACATTCTTAAAACAAGACATTTAACGCCCCCGAGAAGGTTTTACCTTTTTAAAAAAAGACAGTTGGGACCCCCGAAAAGGATTTTAAAAAAGACAGTTGGGATCCCGTGAGAAAGTTTTAGGTTTCACATTAAAAAAAGATATTTGGGGTCCCCAAGAAGGTTTTAGGTTCAATATTTTCTAAAGAGCAGCTGGGTCCTCCGAGAAGGTTTCACATTAAAAAAAGATATTTGGGGTCCCCGAGAAGGTTTTACATAAAAAAAAAATACATTTGGGGCCCACGAGAAGGTTTTACATTTTTAAAAAGGACTGTTGGGATCCCCGAGACAGTTTCACATTCTTAAAAAAAGACATTTGTCGCCCCCGAAAACGTTTTACATTTTTAAATAAAGAGGAGCGTATTCATACCTTTGGGAGAAAGTGGGGTAATTTTATCAATAAAAAATTTGTTACGACGTCATAAACATAGATAATACACAATGCGAGAGAAAAAGAGAAAAAAAAAAAACAAACGAAAAGTCAAGTTTGGAATCGAACTGACTCGTAACCACTAGACCACGACCGATGCCTTACGCTAATGGCAAACTGTCATTATACCGTGTATTATGTTTTTGCAATAATTTGGACGCTTAGGGAAAAACTCAAAGCGGATTCGTACACCACACTTTTAGGACTATATTTTGTATAACAGTGAAATCAAATAAATACAAAATTCTTTGAAATGACATCATCAAATTGTTGGTGGGGATGATTAGTAAAATTTTGTTTAGAATTTAATTATCTACATGATATTTTTAATATATATATACAAAATTTGGCAAGGAGGTTACGTGTCGAATAAAAATGAATACAGACACCAGACAGACAGACAGACAGACGGAAATAGGAGGCTACTTTTTTCGTACTTTAGGGATAATTAAACGTCCGATGGACTCTATTGCTATACTTCCTTAGTTTACGTTCGAGAAGTAAAAAAAATTTGGTGACGTCGTTAAAAAATTGAAATGATTTAACAATGATTATTATGAGAGCGGTTGGGATCGGCCTTGCAAGCAGTGTTTACGAGTTTTGACCAGAACTCCCCATTGTTTGTTAAATGACGTTTGTTTTTGAGTTTTTCTGTATTGTTTGTGTAATAAACAATAAAAGTCTGTTTAAAAAAGCCTATCGTTTCGAAACGCCATCTGTTGTGGTTTTAATTTATACCAGAGTGCAGTTTAGCTGTATCGGTTTTTTCGCTTGAATATTAATCGAATGCAGCGTTGTTTGCCAAATACACATTCTTTGAATCCACTTTTTGTTTGGTATTATTTTGCACAAAACATTTGAAGTGGAACAAAACGTGTGTTTATTTGATCATTTCGTGGTGCGTTATTTATGTGTTAATGTAAACGTTAACTTTGACGTGCGATGGAGCGCATATAGAAGAAACATTAGATTGAATGTTGACGTTTCAAAGTAATGAAACACCACTGGAGGTATTCTATCAGAATAATAGGAAACGTGA